TGGTGCAGGTCTACAATACTTTTCCTGGTGTCCTTCGAAAGCTCTTTGGTCTTGGCCATGGCGGAGTTTGGAGTCTGACTGTTTGAGGCTGTGGACAGGTGTCTTTTATACAGATGATGAGTTCAAACAGGTGCCATTCATACAGGTAACGAGTGGGGGACAGAAAAGCTTCTTACAGAAGACGTTACAGGTCTGTGAGAGCCAGAGATTTTCCTTGTTTGAGGTGACCAAATACTTATTTTCCACCCTAATTTACGAATAAATTCTTTACAAATCCTACCATGTGGATTCATGGATTTTTTTTCACATTCTGTCTCTCACAGTTGAAGTGTACCTCTGGTGCAAATTACTGACCTCTGTCATCATTTTAAGTGGGGGAACTTGCACAATCGGTGGCTGACTAAATACTTTTTTGCCCCACTGTACATACTTACCATTACTCATTACCTCTATAGTTACATGCATTTATTCAATGCAATCATTTTTTGAAAAGGATATTATTTAAGGAGGGAAATGTCCTTAGTTTCACCTTTATGAAATCTTTTGGTGGTTATTTACATTTGTATTTATATATTTGTCTTTAAAATTTTACACAAGTAAACGGGAAAGTCACTTTTTATTCCTGCTTTAAAACATTTTAACGTAGAGCTTAATTAAAAATCCTTTAGCTTTGTTATTTTGGAATATTGTACAAAGATTTTTGGATAAAATATATGAACCGATTTGAGAAATAAGAAGGGATTCATGCATGATCGCTTTTAAGTGCGAATAATAACATGATTGAAGGTTAATCTTGAATAAGCAATAAGTTATGGTCCATGAGTCTTTAATCTGTTTCTTTCACACACTTTCACTCAGATCAGATGTTTCAGTTCAGACGGACACTGATCTTTGTAACACAGAGAAATAAGCTTCCTGCTTTCCAAACAAACACTCCCACTCGGTCCACATGTTTCCTGTTCCTATACTTAGATCTACAAGTTTACAGATGGGTGTGACCAGCATGGTGTGCACGTAAACCCCATTCAGTGCATGTGAACAGAAGGAATGAGAGTCAGTTTTGTTTCTTTGTATGACAAAAGTGAAACTATTTCACAATCATAGTCTCTGACCGGTGAAATGGCGCAGGGAGGAACCCAGTGAAACAGGACAAACTCTGCTGTTCGATCTGTTTGGATCTCCCGAAGGATCCGGTGAATATTCCCTGTGGACACAGCTACTGTATGAACTGTATTCAAATCCACTGGGATAAAGAGGATCAGAAGGAAACCCACAGCTGTCCTCAGTGGAGACAGACCTTTGCACCGAGATCTGCTCTAGGGAAAAACACCATGTTGGGAGAGTCAGTGGAGGACCTGAAGAAGACTTCAGTCCGCGCTTCTTCTGAACTTGAAGATGTGAGCTGTGATTTCTGCACTGACACAAAGCTGAAAGCTGTCAAGTCCTGTCTGCAGTGTCTGGTCTCTTACTGTGAGCAGCACCTCCAGCCTCACTATGAATCCCCTGCCTTTGAAAAACACAAGCTGGTGGACCCCTCCCAGAAGCTTGATGACCATGTCTGCTCTCATCACAGTGAAGCTATGAAGATTTTCTGCCGCACTGATCAGCAGTGTATCTGTTGTCTGTGCTCCAAGGTTGAACATAAAGGCCACAACACAGTCCCAGCTTCAACAGAAAGGAAAGAGAAACAGAGAGAACTCGAGGTGAGTCAGCAAAACATCCAGCAGAGAATTAAAGAAAAGGAGAAAGACGTGAAGGTGCTTCAGCAGGAGGTGGAGGCGATCAATCAGTCTGCTGATAAAGCTGTGAGAGACAATGAGAAGGTCTTCGAGGATCTTGTTTCACTCATCAAAAAAAGAAGCTCCAATCTGAAGCAGCAGATCAGATCTAAGCAGAAAAATGAGTTGAACAGAGTCGGGGAGCTACAGGAGAAGCTGCAGCAGGAGCTCGCTGAACTGAAGAGGAAAGGGACAGAGCTGGAACAGCTGTCATGCACACAAGATCACATCCACTTCCTACACAGTTACCCTCTTCTGTCGTCTCTAAGTGAATCCACAAACTCGCCCAGTATCAATATTCACTCACCGTGTTACTTTGATGAAGTAACATCAGCTGTATCAGAGGTCAGAAAGAAACTCGAGAATACTATTAAACTTGAGTGGACCAAGATCTCACTTAAAGTGACCAGTGCGGAGTTTTTACTCCTACCGGAGCCAGAACCCAAGACCAGAGCTGACTTCTTGCAGTATTCACGTCAAATCACACTGGATCTAAACACTGCACACCCACAGCTGATATTATCTGAAGGCAACAGAGTAGCTAGATTGACGATAAAAAAACAGCTGTATCCTGATCATCCAGACAGATTCACTCAAAGACAGCAGGTTCTGAGCAGAGAGAGCCTGACTGGACGTTGCTACTGGGAGGTGGAGATGGGACCAGCTAGTGCCACAGTTGCAGTCACATACAAGGACATTAGCAGAACAGGAGATGAAAGTGAATTTGGATGCAATGACAGATCTTGGGCTTTAGAAAATTCTGTTGAATTTATTCACAACAGCATGAGCAACACCATCTCGGGTCCTCGGTCTGCTAGAATTGGAGTGTACCTGGATCACAGTGCAGGTGTTCTGTCTTTCTACTGGATCTCTAACACCATGACTCTCCTCCACAGAGTCCAGACCACATTCAGTCAGCCGCTCTATGCTGGACTCAGTGTTTATGGTTGTGGTAATTCTCTGAAATTGTGTGAACTCAAATAGATGGGCAGGAGAAAGAGTAACTGTGTCACTCTGTGTAGTGTTATTTTACGATGCACCTACTGTAATCAGTCATTTCTTATTGTAGATTTTACCAGGATGGAATAAAAGCTTTACACCATAATACTGTCAGCAGCTGGTTGCCATTCAAATGTTATTTAAACATGTCTTAGTGTTGACATAATTTATCACAGCTATTGTCCACATATATAGCTGCAGAACCAGTCAAAGGTTGAATACAGTCATAGTGGGGAACACTATTTAATTTTCTTTTTCAGTTATTTTCCATGTTTTATACCAGGAGTATAAAAATGACGCCATTACTAACGAACAACATGTGGAGCTTTTTATGCCATACTGTGCAGAAAAGTATCCCCACTACCAAATATGCTACATTTGGGATAAATCAAAAGTCCACTAAGAGGAAAATTCAACCACAAATGAACCTTTATGAGTGATCAAGATGATTAGAAATTTCCCTTTAAACTATCTCTCTACCACCACTGATGTTCTGTTAGGAAATTTACTTGTTTAGAACAAATTTGCAGAAGCTTGTTTTATGTATTATTATTATAATTAAACTTGACCAAACCAATGATTGGTACTGTATCTGTTAGGGTGTTGGAGTTTACTTAATATCTGTGAATCAGGGTTTTGTTTCCTCATTTGTAAACTAATATTTGTTTGTGTTCATGCTTACCCTTCTCTCCAGTGTTTCTTTTTCTGCTTTTGCTTTGCTGATTTGTGTTTCTTTCCTCCGTTCTAATTACTTCATATTTCATAAACCTTGCCTGTGGATTTCTGATTTGTCTACTCGGGACAATTTCCCTCTATTATTATTGTCTGCCTGGCTCTTATTGATTGATTTGCACTGGTGCTTTTCCTTGTTAGCCTATAACTTTTGGGCCTTTTTATCTTTTTAGTAATTCACATCATCTGAGTGCTGGAAATACTTATTCTTTTTGTTCTTTTCAGCCTTTTCTTCCACATTGGGTTCTCATTTTGCAAAAACATGGGGTACACCTGTACTAAAACATTAAGACTGAGTAAATTAGGTTTGCTCAATTTAATGTAACTTAAGTTAGTTGTTTGTGAAAATACTGCTGATGTAAATAATATACAGTGCACAGTTATTGTTGCTGTGGGAAACCTGACTAGGGATTTGGTTTTCTTTAACATAAATAAAATTTGTACTATTTGAATGCATATAATCTTTTTTTTCTGTTTGTGTTCCTGTTGATGTTCATTAAAGTGTTTCGAAAGGGTAAAAACTGTGAATTAATAAACAGCAGGAGAGCAAATGTGCATCAGTAAGGCCTGATTAACTTTGAAGGTGATTTAAGTAGTTAAAGGCATTAAATATGTACATTAAATGAATAAACATCCAACATGACACAGACGTGGAGGATTCCTCGACAATTAGATGTTTTATCAGGTTTGTCCAGAGAGAAGAAAGTATCTTAATGCTGAAATAAAGGACGTGATTGACAATGGGACTGCAGAGCCATCTACTTCTAGCTCAGTGTTTGCTTTCAGACTTTAGATAGTGAAGACTGACTTACATGTATGGAAGGTTGTGTCATTCAGGTAGAGGCTGTAAAGTCCATCAGTAAATTTGATTCATTGAATTCCTCAAATCTCATTGTTTACTAGAGTTTGGATTTACTGTATGAGTTATGAGTGTTATGATGCACCTGACTCAGCATGAACTATGACCTTTTATCTGACCTTTGAAGGTGAAATGTTAAAAGCCTTATAATGGTCCTGAGATTGATGTTAAATGACAAAATTCATGAATCCAGGAGATCACTAAAATCAGAGAAAGAGACAACAGTCTTGACATCTTTGCTGTGAATAGAAAGTTCAAAACCAGTCTTCTATAAACAAATCAAAACTACATCTAATATAACTTATACTTTTAAAGGCCACTTTGAAGAAGATATAACATTTAAAAGATGAAGTAAAATGTTAATATTTTGAAAATGAATGGATGCATAAATGAATGAATTAATTGTGTTGGTGAACAAAATCGCAGATAGCTGATTTTAAGTGAAAATAATGAATTGTGAGGTACAAGTGTACCTCACCCACACAATAACTGCTAGTTCTATAAGTTTGGAAGTGGCATCTGTTCAGTCATAAGACTAATCTTTAATCCTCTAACTCATAATACAATGAAATTGGTGCAGTTTAGTCACAGAGAAGCTAAGTTGCTAAGCTTATTGTGCTCTTACTCTCAAACACACACTCTTGACAAACTTTGACCTTTGTTTGATGAGGAAGGAATTAGCCCCTCCCCCCTCATTCCTGTTATATAGAAAAGTCAGTCCCATTCATTTCAGGTGTTTTCTGTTCCTGCCCTGTTCACAGATCTGCAAGTTTACAGATGAGTGTAACCGGCATGCTGTGCTCTGACATGCCAGTCAGTGCGTGTTAGAAGCTGAAATGAAATAACTGCAGCTCAGCCCTGTTTTTCTGGTAAGACGAAAGTGAAACTATTTCACAATCACATTCTCAGAGGTGAAATGGCGCAGCGAGGAGCCCAGATGAACCAGGACAAACTCTGCTGTTCGATCTGTTTGGATCTCCTGAAGGATCCGGTAACTATTCCCTGTGGACACAACTACTGTATGAACTGTATTCAAATCCACTGGGATGAAGAGGATCGGAAGAACATCCACAGCTGTCCTCAGTGCAGACAGACATTTGCACCGAGGCCTGCTCTGGGGAAAAACACCATGTTGGCAGAATTAGTGGAGGACCTGAAGAAGACTGGACAAACTGCTCCTGCTACTCACCGCTATGCTGGACCTGAAGATGTGAGCTGTGATGTCTGCACTGAGAGAAAGCTGAAAGCTGTCAAGTCCTGTCTGCAGTGTCTGGTCTCTTACTGTGAGCAGCACCTCCAGCCTCACTATGAATCCCCCGCCTTTAGGAAACACAAGCTGGTGGACCCCTCCCAGAAGCTTCAGGACAATATCTGCTCTCATCACAATGAAGCTATGAAGATTTTCTGTCGCACTGATCAGCAGTGTATCTGTTATCTGTGCTCCATGGATGAACATAAAAGACACGACACAGTTTCAGCTGCAAAAGAAATGAGTGAGAAGCAGAGAGAGCTCGAGGTGTGTCAGGAGAAAATCCAGCAGAGAATTAAGGACCAAGATAAACACATGCGGGTTCTTCAGCAGAAAATGAAGGCCATAAGTCAATCTGCAGATAAAGCTGTAAGGGACAGTGAGATAATCTTCACAGAGCTTATCTGCCTCCTAGAAAAAATAAGGTCTGATTTAAAGCAGCAGATCAGATCTAAGCAAAAAAAGGAGGTGAGTCGACTTACAGAGATTCAAGAGAAGTTGAAGCAGGAGACTGTTGATCTACAACAGAAGAAATCTGAGTTGGAACAACTCTGTCACATGCAGGATTACATCACCTTTCTACAAAAGTATCCCTCACAGCCAAGCTTGACTTTCAGTGAGAAGCCACCCAGCATCAGTATTCACCCTCTGTGTAACTTTGATGATGTGACAGCTTCTCTGTCAGAAATCAGGGAAAAGATGCAGGACATACTCAAAGGACAATGGACCAAGCTATCAGCAACAGTGAGTGAGTGTGATCAGTCACAAAGAGAACACACAACTAGAGAGGAATTCTTAAAATATTCACAACATATCACACTGGTTCCAAACACAGAAAGATTTTAATATCTGCTAGCAAGAAAAAAGCAAGTATTACATACATCCCCCGTTTTATGAAACTGGCCATGTTACAACAATTAGGCTCTCCAGAAAGAAAAAAAATGTCTAATTTTTGTGTCCTAAGTATAGAGAGTTTGACTGGCCGGTGTTACTGGGAGGTGACGTGGTCTGGGACTGTTGCAGTAGCAGTCACAAACACAAACAGACTACCAGTTTATCAATTTGGGGATGATGACACATCTTGGGCGCTATATAGTATAAGAGATAAATTTGAATTTAGACATGACAACATCAGGACTCACATCTCCACATGTCAGTCCTCCACTATTGGAGTGTATCTGGACCACAGTGCAGGTACTCTGTCCTTCTACAGTGTTTCTGACAACATGACTCTCCTCCACAGAGTGCAGGCAACATTCACTCAGACGCTCTATGCAGGATTTTTTGTTGGTTATGGATCTGTAGTTGAGCTCAAGTAGACCGCAGTCATTAGATGAGATTGTAAAGATTAGTTTCTTATTTTGGACTAATTAAGTTTTTGTTAAACACACTCACATATGTCATCTTGAAGTTTATAAATTGGATGTAAACTATAAAATATGATAACATAGAAAAGTGATTTTCTAGTGCTAGCCCCCCTGCTCCACAGCTCTCCGTCTCTAATTAAAAATTTTACACTGATTAAAGTTTACTGTAAGAAAGGGAAAGGGCATTTGTATACATCTTGGTTGGATTCAATTGAAATGACACTTCTAATCACTTTTATATATGCATTTCCTTTATTTAATTTCCAAATATGATGGTGCCCTAAAATAAAAAGAGCTCTGAAAATTTCTGGTCAAACTGAAATGTAAACACAGGAATAACAAACTCCATAAATATGTGAATTTCATCCATCAGTCCATTCAGAGCTGCAAGGCTGTCACAGGGCAAGCAGTAGGGTACATCACCATCACCAATCACATGTATGACTGAGTTTTCATTTTAAATAACATTCTAACTAATTCTAACTATTGGAAGATATAAAGGTCTTTGTCATAGCCGTCACGGAAGACACTGTCACCGATATCTGCAGTTATAAGTGAGATATGCGTTTTTGGTATCTTACATTATTTGGTTCATATTTCATTGATTTGTACATATATTTCTTTTGACAAAGCAGTGTTTAAGGTTTATAAATGCATGTTTGTGTCTTGACCTGAGTGCAACCACTGAAATAAGCAGCAGCCTGCCTTTAAATAGAGCAGTACTGTTTGCACCCTCTTGATGTCACTGCATGACTGCATTTGTCTCTCTCAGCTTTGCTTTCATTACAATTCTCACTTCAGTGAAGAATCAGCGCCACCAGTGAGAGCAGCCAGCATTATTAATATTTTCACATATATTACTGCATCTTTTTGTGATTGAGAGGTTTAAAGATTTTTTAGTAGTAGTTTAACTTTGCAAGCTTTGACATGTTTGGGATATGTTTAACTACGACAATAACGTTATTAAATTATTCTTTCACAACATTTTCCAGTCACAATCACTTCTCCATTAGAGGTTCAACCTTCAAATATATATATATTTTTTGTTGTTTATTGTTTTTTTATTTTTATCTTAATTGAAATGAGAATTGCAATAGTGACAAACATAAAAACTGATGTTTTCTGGGGACACAAACTATTTATAAGACTTACAAAACTTCAATGCTGTACTGCTGCATAGCCGTTTTCTGATTGTTTTCTTCATTTATTTATTCTGCTAATGTCTTTCAAACTAGAGTTGACTTTACTAATTTTATTTATCTACCTGGTAATATTATTACCATTGTTGTTGTTGTTGTTGTTGTTGTTGTTACAGGATTCTTGCCTCCTTTTCATTCCAGTCTATGGTAAAAAACAAAAACACTTTTTTAATGGTTCTGTTTCTGTTCATTATATGTTTTATATATCATTATATTGTCTCCTTTATCTTTTATCTATGACACATATTCCAAAATGTTTTAATGTATACGCTTTTATTTTCAGCAATTTTTAAGAAAAACTGCAATTGTCTGTGTTCCTTTGGGTTTTAAGTGTCTGCCTGATGTTTTCGGCTGCAGTACACTGTAAGACATGATTGACTGCAAAACCTTAGCATGTTGTGATTAGAAAACTTAAATTAAAATTAAAATAATTACATTAAAATTAAAGCTTGTAATGTCAAAAAAATATGCATACTGAATATTTCCAGAGTCATAAATACAGCTCACCTCAGGAAGGCGCCAGTCACTAAAAAAACAAAACAAAAACTAAAAATTGTAGGGGAAGTAGACGGACAAATTTATGACAGCAGATATGCTATGCTTGTATCATCAGTACAGTCAACTGACTGGCCTGAAACCTACATTTATTCAAGGGAAAAATAAGTGAAATACATAACAAAATGTGTAACTGATTTTACAGCAAGGAATACAGAAAATGTTTTGCTGTAGACACACTGTGGAATGAGGTTAATCGTGACTGTAATGCTGCATTATGTGCATATTCTTTTATTACCACGATATGATAAATGCAGACTATAAAGTGCATTAAAAGCACTATTACAGCTGTATGCCTGGTATATATTTTCAAAGAAACAATCTGTCCAACCAAACTTTAAATAAAGTTTTTAAAAAGAGCAACTCCAACATTAAGGCTTTGCTTTGGCCTTCAAAGGTATCAAATAAGTTGAGAGAACAATCCTGTATGAATGACCAGGCTGCATCAGACTTTTAAAAGTTGAAATTTGATTCAATTCATCTCTACAACCAATCAAATTACCGCTGTAACTACGTCAACAGCATGTTAAATCATCTTTTTTTGGCCGCTATCTCTCAGTCTCTCTGTCAAATCTGCATCAGTTCCACATCAGAGGCCTCCAGGCGGACGCAGATAATGCTCTCCATATTTACAGTGGCAGGAGGATTGGGAGGTTTTTGACTAGATCCCATTTGTGTGAACCTATTAGTGCAGAGCGCTCTGAGCTCCCTCTGATACGCCTCTGAGATTAGGCAATGGTATTACTGTAAGAGGATCGACTTGCCTCGAGGTGAGGGCCGAATATACAGAGAGAGAGAGCGAGAGGAACACACACAAAGACGGGAACATGCTCACACAGATAGGACCACACACTCCCCAGGAAAAGAAAAAAAAATCAGGATCTGGCAGTGAGAGCGGAAAAAAGAGAGGGAGGAACACACACACACACACACATTTTTAAATAATGAACTGAAACCAAGGGCCCGCACTGATAACAAGGTGCATGATGATCCTCAATTTTAAGATGCTAAATTTCCAGTGATCACTCTCCTGAACACTGATAAGTGTGACTGAGCAACTATTTGGAGGAGGAGATCTAACATGATTGTCTCAATATCAGCTAAATCTAATCAGTCACATGCACGCTGCAGGTTTAACCTGCAATTAAGCTTATGGCACTTTTAATATCCTAAAACTGAAATAAAGAAAATAAGACTGGTATATGCTTTACATAAAGGTATGTATTTCTGTCAGGCATTAATTAGAACCCTTACCTTGTTTTGTTCGTTCTCGCCTTATTTACAACGTTTTGCAGTTTATTTTGTGGGGAACTAATACTATGTAAAAAAAAACAATACATTAAATGTACAAATGCTAAACAAACTCAGTCATACCCCAATTACACATCTACTGTAATTAGATACTGCATTCAGTATAATAAGATTAAAAAAAACTGCTAAACTACTATATTTACACATAGCAAGTTATATCATGATAATGAAGCAAAGCATTGAACTAAAAAAAAAGTACTTATCAAATCTTTTACATTGTGTTAATTTATCACGGCATCATTTGATGCTCATTAGAGAGGAAATTTTAATCTGAAGTCAAGCCACATGTTTCATTCCCTGAATGCTTTTGGAGTTGGAGCAACTTCCTTTTAACTGTCTTGAAAACAGGTACTGACATACAATACTTGGCTACATGAAATACTACATGAAAGCATGGGGAATATGAAGAGTGAATCATGTCCTGACCTCCTCCCTAGACCTATTTGGGCTAGTAAGATTGGTCAGTGACATGACATTTCCAAACCTGTAGGGAGTGTAGGTAAGTACCTGACGTGATGTGGTGTGGCTGAAGTCCCTGGTATGCTTTCTTAATGTGCAACAAATGTTTCTCTAATGAATTAAAACAATGTAATTCTAGGGTTTTGTTATATTGATTTTTGGTTGTGGTTCTGATTTTGTTTTTCTATTCTCCCCAGTGTTTCCTCTGCGCCTGTGTTATATTGAGTGTGTCTTCTTGTCTCTGGGTTTAAGATGTGAATTTTAGTTGCTTCCTGTTTTATTTCAAAAGTTGTTTTACATCTTGTATCTTGTTTTGGGTTTTACTTCCTTTATGTCTGACTGGAAACACTTATGCTCACCTGATTTCTATCTAGATTTCCATCTATCCACTGATAGATATTTGACTTTGTTTAAAGTGTTATTTTTTCCCTCCTACTTTAGTTTTGCTCCTTATGTTGGTTTTTTGACTTTGCCACTGTTTCGATTTTGCTTATTTGCTTGCCAGAGTCTTGCAACTTTTAGCTTGAGATAAATTTTTTTCTCCTTGCACCACGTTGTAGAAAACTGATGAAACATGTTGCACTGGAATCGAGTTTGATAGCAGTGCAGATTCGCTGCAGTCATTTGCCCCGAGGTTCCTGCCTCCTATAGAAATATTTTGACTAGAATGTCCAGAAGCCCCTTGTGGGCTTGTGTGGTGAAACCAGTCTAACAACGTTATATTTTTTATTAGATTGAATATTTGGTCTATGATGTCCAGTGTTTGACAATATTTGTTTAAAAATAATAAAAAAAATTATCATTTATAGTTTTGTCAAATTTTTTACAAGGCATTGCACTGATTGTTAGTGTGACTGTTTTCACTGCTTTCACAGTCTGTTTATGATCCAGCACACCAGTTTATACGACTTTCTGCAGTGAATTGATGGGCCAAGGGCTACATGGTTATATTGGACACTGATAAAATGCCCACCTCCTCATCACGTATCTGTTATTTTATGCAAAGCCTGTAACCGTCACATAAACTAGCTGCAATCCAGTGAAATAACAATCAAATATTAGCATAGAAAG